GATGACCTGGATGACTGAGAACCTTCACAGACACATGTAGGCAAACTTTACCAAAAACATGACCTCCTTGGTGAAGGTAATCATCATTGTGTTATACGAAATTTGTTTGCTCACATCCCTCTCCACATCAGTACTTAATAAATTCAGTCCAACAAGAAAATAAACGACAGCACAAGTCTTTTAAAAAAACGTATATGTGAAACTATATTGTTTATGCATGTAGCTGTTGTGCTTTTCATTCAGCTCATCTTAATTCTCCTTTATTGAACTACATTTACTGATATCATCAATGACACATATGTTGTCCATTGTGCAGCAGTCTTATTTTTACATGAAATAAATAAGCTCGAGGTGAATAAGAAAAAGTGTTTTGTCACAGCTTGTCTAGGCTCCAACAGACTCTTTGTCGGTTTGCTGAGGACGTGATAAACAGTGACCCAAAGATGATCATCAAATCACATGTAAATATAGTACATGACGGCTCATATCAGCTTTAATCTAGTCAAACAAAGGTAAGTGGTGGAGCTGAATATTTTAATGTTCATCCCAGCGTCTATGTGTGAAACACAGTAGTTATGCCCCACAGAAAGAGTTAGAAATGACTGTATATTGTTCAGCTGCACACTGATGCTCCAGAAACAACCAGAGCAAAGAGGCAGGCGCACACTGTGAACAGTTTGTCTTTTGTGTCAGAAACAAAGGCTGCTTAACAGCAAGGATGACACCAACACACCGGAGTCAACAGCAGCGATGCAGATCTGTCTCCTAAAATAACGCACAAGTTTAAAGCAATGAGATATCCATTTAAAAATCTGTTATTATTATTATTACTGCACCGTTATAGGCTGCATCATGTGTCTGAAATCATAAAACAGTACAACACTTACAGCACTTTGGAAACTCCACTCACCGCTCACAGAAGGTGTGCAGGCAGGGCAGGACTTTGGGGTTCTCGTAGCGGTCCAGACATATGCTGCAGATCAAGAACTGCTTGTCAATTTGGCGGACGACAGGACTGGGGATAGTGGAGCCTTCACTGGCCATCCTAAAGCTCTGGCATAGAAGTCCCTCTTCCTCTTACCCTGCACCCTGCGGAGCGACACGGAGGGAGAACAAAACCGGTGAGGACGTAAACACAGTGGCATCACATAGGATCAAACGCACAATGAAGATCTTGTGGTGGTGAGCGGGACTCTGTGGGGCTGCAGAGATCAGAGTTTGAGGCCGAAGGCAAAGACAAAGTACTTTCTTCCTTCCACAGAGGAAATGCAAAAATACACAAAGAGACACATCAATCGGCGCCTGTGACCAGGCAACTGCAAACAGCCACTCAAACAGGACATGAAACCGTGTTGTTGTTCTTTAAAACGCACACACACACAATTTTGTGCATATATATATATATATATATATATATATATATATATATACAAATTGACTTTACCACATTTTTATTATTTAAAATATTTATTTAAAATAAGCAGACCGACAATAACACTGAACTTGTGTGATGAGCTGCCGGATTTATGGCAACAGCTAGATGTGTAAAATATATATATATTTATATTTTTGGGCTTTTGATCCTGCAAGTAATGCAATGTTTGCAATTTCCCCAAACCATGAGCTGGATAAATATCAAGGCAAAACAGTGCATGTGGCGTTTTCTTTTGATGTTGCTTAACTTAAATAGCTTAAAGGCAAATCCCGCTCTGCCACGCTGGTACTGGCACAGACGCTGACATTTATATATCAGATGCAGTACGTCTGCTCCACATAACATAGATTTCGTAAATGTCATTATGAAGATCTTTAATGTGCCTCCACAAAGTCTCGATTGCGTGCAGCACACTTCCTAATTACTTTCACGAAGTTATGTGCAGATTTTTATTTATTTATTTATTTTTTAAGATTACCGGAGTGCTGATATCGTTAAAAATAGTCTGATTCAGGGGTGTCAAACATAGGGCCCGGGAACCAAAAACAACCCGGCAGAGTTTCCAATCTGGTCTGCTGGACAGTTTTGGAAAATGTGAAGAAAGGGATAGATTTTGGACTTTTTAATGTATTTTTGGGAGTTTTACAGCTTTTCCTTTTCATAAAGTCTTCCCTCATTTCCATTCATTATACACCAAAGTAACAGAAGAAACAATTCAGTGACAGAACCTGCCACTTTATTCACTACTATAGAAATTTCTGGGTTATTTTGATATATTAATCTTTTTTTATATAATACTTTAAAAAAAAAAGACATTTTCTGTGAAAAAAGTTGCTCTTTTTTAAATTACAGGTCAGCCTGGGAAGTGAGCTACAAGAAATCTTACAGTTTACAGATTTATTTTTTACATTTTAAGTCCAAAAAGTCACGAAGACAAGATTTCTTTCATTTAATAGAGCAGTATTTCTCTGTTATGCACTGTGAAAATTGCACTCCTTTTTGTAATACTAAGATATTTCAGTTAAACATCTCTACACTGACAGAAAGGAGAGCTTCACTGGTCTGGCCCACTCAAGACTAATGTGGGCAGTAAGTGGCTCACAGCATAAAATGAGTTTGGCATCCAAGCTCTTATCAGTGCACGGTCAAGAAAATAAATGGTCTCTATAGTATAACACATATTTATCCTGTGACCCCTGTGGTGGGTCTCAACCCTTATGTTGGTAACCGCTGCAGTAGCAGAGCAGCACCTGAGCCGCAGATGTGTTTGTCATGAAAAGGCACTTTAAGCACTAAATATTTGATGATGAAGTGAAAGCAAGGCACTCTGCGTTCAGCACACATTAGTCAAACTACCAAGACAGCCGAGCAAAACTATTTCCAACTCGGCCCTCTGCTTTATCCCAGACAGCTTCTCCTGGCATCATTTTGTCCCTGCGATATTCCTGTTACATTATCCGGCAGCTAACTTAGACACGGAAAGTGTGTCAGTGCTTTTATTGTCTCATCACATTCAAGTTGGCCACAGAAACAGGCCACCTCTGCTGCTGGGAGGAAACCCCGAGGGACTGCACTCCTTTCTACAGTGCACGCTCTTTCTCCTCATCCCGTTTCCACTTAATCTCTCTCCTTTAGATACACATCTTCTCTCATATTCCTCTCTGGAAGCAGACGTGGGAGCCTTTAATGTTTTAAAGAAGCTCTCAGGCAAACTTCTCAGTATGCTAGGTGAATGGAAGCAAGCTCAGTGTTACTGCAACTGAAATAAAAGCAGCAAGTTATCAACTGAGACTCATCACCAAGCTAATCTATCACTAAGAGGATGACCTACAGCAATTCGTTTGTTCAGAACATAAATGAAAAGACACAGAAAATAAAAGCATCTGACAGTATTCCAGCACAGACGTGCACGAACACAAGAGCTCAGATCTCTCTTAATAACTCACCAGCTCCACGGAGCAGATTAAGCAGATGCTCACAGCATCAAATATGGGACTGCTTATAAAAAAATAAATAGATATGTAAATCCTGCAGAAAGCCACAGCAGGAAAACAGAAGCAGCGCCGCGCTGACGGTGCACAAGGTCGCAGCAGTCCCACAGCGCTTCACTCTTACATAATCAGATCCGCACCAGCTAAGCGGAATAATTCCTGCTGGATTGAGCCGTCATCCCACGCACAGAAGAGGGCGCACATGACAAAAAGGGGGGCGTCGCAGCAGGAATTTATACCAAATCAAAGCATCTTCTGTCATAGAAAGACTGTGAGAAACACTCATGCACAACAAAAGTGATTCCAGGGCAACAGCAGCTATTCCAGAGAGTTTCCTATAATCATAAGAGGATTATTAAAAACTTACAGTGCTGCATTCACGGAACGATCAACAGGCGTCATCCACACAAGTGCACTTCAAATGAATGAAACACAGACAGCCTTCATCTTCTGAATCGTCCTTCAACTCTGACAGGAAATGATGCTTCCCTCCAGGTTGCAACAGAGAGCCAAACACGAGACGCCAGTGTGTGTGTGTGTGTGTGTGTGTGAGAGAGAGAGAGAGCCAGCCAGTGTTTATGGGCGTGCACACACGTGAGCAAAGTTAAGGAGGAGCAGTTCAGCCGGATTGTATTTCAATTTTCTACATCATGTCTCCCCGCCCGCCCTCCCTCCCTCCCTGCGTTACTTTCTCTCCTCCCATCACTTGCATTCCCTGCTCGGTCTGTCTCATCCATTCATCTCCCTCCTTCCTCTCTGTCTGAAGTAAATGCTGCTTCACTGCAGCGCGTGAGTAAGAAAGCGCAGCATCCGGAGCATGTGAGCGAGCACTGGCTGACGCCTGGTTACCTAACAAATGGGAAAAAAGGGACAGCACTTAAGGGTCTCCGTCACAGCCAATAGAGATGAAGCCACAGGGATGTTTCTGCGTGCGAGTGTGCGTGCGTGCAGGCTGCTGACTCACTGTACATGCAGAGACTGAAAATGAGCACAAGGAAAAGTCACACACTGTATATGAAGAGAGGGAGGAGAGATGACAGAGAGTAAACATTGCAGAGAGAAAGGAAGTACGGTGAGACGTGTGCTTCAAATGTGGACACAAAGGACACACTGCCTCTCCAGTTTAAGAGACAGAAATAGAGATCGGTGATAAAACGCTGAGGTGAAACGCATTTTCTGCCTGTTTTTTCTCACTGCACTGCAGCTCTGTCGCAGCTCTTTGGTCACTGCTTTCTGCATACGCAAGAATGGATGACTTAAACAATGACACAAAGCTTTAACCTTCAGACAACCTCAAACACCGAACACTCTGTGGACGTCATCTGGGGGGTTTTCCACCAAGGAAACTGGAGGCAATTTGAGTATTTGGTCAGTAAGAGGACAGATTTAAAGGCCTAATGGTGGGTGACTCCAGCAGGTCCGTCACCGTACTCTCTGAAAACTGTTCAGTGGTTAGAGAGTGAGACAGAGAGAAACCACCAGCTTTCCAATTAGTGGATGGCCTGCTCTACCTCCAGTCCATCACAGGTCCAACACATAGAGCACATTTAGAATCACCAATTAATTCATCTTGTCTCTAGACTGTGGGAGGAAGCTGGAGTATCTGGACCGATAGCAGTTATTTTGCTTCCTTGGCACTAACAATTCTGAGGGATACTGTGTTGAATACACATAAAAAACTGGCTGCAAGTACGATGTTACATGATACTTGCAGCACCCCCCCTTCAGTTCTTAAATTTTCTTATTTCAGTTCCACGTCAAACACAGTTGTGTCGATGGAGTTTTTTCACAGAGTTAAGCATGCCTGGCAGCTCCACAGCTGTTCCAGTGATCTCATCTCAGCCTCTGCCAAACTCAGTGAGCTCAGTCAATCAGAGGAGTGGGACGCAGAACAAGAAAACATAATGCGGGAAAAAGAATGAAATACTGTGTGGGTGCAAACCAGTGACAACAATCAGTCTTTAAAGCTCCATCTTAGATTCAGCACTATGAGGGATAAGAGGCCGTGTGATCTTATATGTTCTGTTCTGACTTGCAGCTCAGTAGCACTCGGACCCAAACCTATTCCTTTATTTCTGGCATTAGATTCATAACTAGTGCTCATTCTTTATCGATACTGAAGTTTATAAAGTTTGGTTGTTTCTGTGTTTAATGTTTTACTCTTTGACTGTACTTAGCTGCTGTATGGATTTGCTGTCCTTCTTGGCCAGGACACTGTTGTAAAAGAGATTTTTAATCTCAACACTTTATTTTCTACTGGTTACAAAGATACATTTACTAAATCAGTCTTTGGCCGAATGGACAGTATGCTATATGGCAATTTTTTTTGCTGAATTTGGCATAATTTCTATTAAAGAAGATTTTACAATATTACCACACATATCATTTAAAGAAATCCGGGCATATAATAATAAAAAGAGTTCTCCACGATCCTAGTAGTGTTTAAAATCTATTCACTGAGTGGTTATAGAGGCTGCCTTCGATTTGGATAATGCAAATCACAGCCAGCGAACATGCCTTAAAGGCACAGACTGGTATCAAACCTGTCTTTTAAATGTTCAAACTGATGATGTATTTTTGATGCTCTTAAATGCTCGACTGTATCAATAGTTTTTGTAAACACAGCAGAAAAATGCAGATATTTTCAGTTATGGTGAGCAGTTTAACAGGTCACATGGCTTACTATTTTTAATAATCCATGTAAATCTCTGCAATGATGCCTTTAAACACACTGTGCAAACTGAAAGACTGCAGCATTACATTGCTAAGATTTAAGGAAGGCAACATCAGGTTACATCAGGCCTGACTTGAAGCCAACACACAGGAGTAAATATGTCAGATAACCTGTTTCAGCTGCTCTAATGTTCACGCCAACACCATTATCCCTCACAAACAAATAGCAGCAAAGCAACTCAAACTCAAAAACATTTCAAACTTCTACAGGAGAGATTAGTAGAGAAAATAAAGTTGTAGTTTTGAACCATTTCCACTCACTCACCATGACGAAGTAGAAACACACACTTGTGTTTACTGCATTTTACTTTATAAGCTGCTTTCTGTGTTACCCCGCCGTCTAACCCACAGTTCTTTCCAGAGCACCGACCTGAGCTGTTTCCACCGCTTCTCTCGGTTTCTAAACACACAAAACGCTGCACAGTGACGACACTGCACAGGCTGGCTGATCGCTTTCAAATTGCAAACAACAAGTGTGAAGACAAGAAAGATGGTTCCTCGATTTTCAGTAAGTATGACCACAGTGTTTTGGTTTGACACACTTCACCTGCCCATTACTGAGCTATTAATATCATTTTTATGATGGAAAACTCATTAGTTTGTCAGGTCCAAGAGTCCAGTCACAGGTGGGTTCACTGTTGTGTCGGCTGGTTATGAAATCGACTGGGGGGGGGGAGAGAGAGTCCACAGAGCTACTTTACCTCTCCTTTATCCAAGATCAGTAAATTGAAGTAAATTTGGAGTTCAACACTCGTAAAAGGAAGACACATTTTGAAAGAGGTTGTGTGAATTCAAACTTGGTTAATACTCAGTGTGATGTTAGGTGCAAGATAAGCCATGACACAGTCAGCATATCAAGCACATTTCTCTGCATTACGTACAAGTCAGGAAAAAAAGGAAGCGAGTCCCGCTCTGTCTGATGTGGTTCAGAGGTGGGCCTGCTATCGCTTTCCAAGCTTTTATGCTATATGGTAATATATAGAGTTGTGCAGGGATTTCACTGAATTCTGGAAATGTTAAATGTGATTTGGGACAGACATCCTCTCTGCTTTTACGATTAGCCTTTCTTTTTGATAACGTGTTAGTTAGGGCTCAGTCAGGTGACCCTGAACCCTCCCTTAGTTATGCTACAATAAGTCTGGGCTGCTGGGAGGGGTTCGCATGATGCACTGAGTGTTTCTTCTTCACTCTCTGTGTGTTTTCTACATTTAATTATTAGTTATTATTAATCTCTGGCTCTCTTCCACAGCATGTCTTTGCCCTGTCTTCCTCAGCCGGTCGAAGCACATGGCCTCCCTGAGCCTGATTCTGCTGAAGGTTTCTTCCTGTTAAAAGGGAGTTTTTTCTTCCCACTGTCACTAAAGTGCTTGCCTCACAGGGGGTTGCCAAATTGTTGGGGTTTTCTCAGTATTATTGCAGGATCTTTACCTTCAGTATAAAGCAGCTTGAGGTGACTGTTGTTGTGATTTAATGTAAATTAAATTGAAGTGAATTGAATTGAAGGGTCATCAGGATTCATTTTGTGTTAAAGTATGAATGTTTCTGTAACTTTTTCCACGCATGTCCTGCAGCTGTGAACTTTTCTAGTCATTACCCAGCAACACTAACTAGTACAAAGTCTCTGTGTTGATGTGATTTGAAACAGCACTGAAGCATGCTGTGTGCTGCATATGAGAAAAGGTTTCTTTGGACAATGATTCTCCTGACTCTGTCTGAAGTTCATGTGTGAAAGCAGCGTACGTGTGTGAAGACTTCCAGCCATTCAGACCCTATTATAGAAAAGTACCAAAACAAAGGTCACTGGTCTTGCTCGAGTTATTTGAAGCAAACGATCTATAGCCCTTTTCATTACAGATCGACTTGGCACGGCTCAACACAGTTTTTACGATTTTCCATTAAGTGGTATTATCTGGTCCCAGGTATTTTTTAAGTATCTACTCGGTCAAGACTCCAGGATGCTTCTAGCAGCGGGGATTCCCAGACAGATATGAAATGGTATTGCTCGTCAACTCAGGTGACCCTGACGGCTCACATGTGACCTCAACAGCTATACTTTATGTAAAAAATACCATCGGATTCAATGAGTTGTGGAGGTAAATAAAAAAATAACATTTTCCCATCACTTCAAGCCCTCATGTTTTTATGAGCAAAGCTACTTGCCTCCCAGCAAGTATAAAGTGCTTTTACGTTCTGTTTTTCTGAAGTACACTGACGACATTTTGCCGTTAATGTAAAAGACACTGAGTTTATGAGCAAAAATGCACCATGCTAAGGCTTCACATTTACTGCACAAACATGACAGTGATGAGTAAGTACAGAAAAGGCCGTCCTTGCTTGTCTGTCTGCCATCCATCCATTCTGGGGACATGTGGGATGACTTTAAATTTCAAAGAGACATTTAAATGCTGGCTCATTAAATTCGAACAAGCACACAAAAAAAGACCTGGCAGTTTGGACTGACTGCAGAATGACATCATCCCATTTATGGTCTGGTCTGTAAATGGTCTGTATTTGTATAGCGCTTTATCATGGCCTGCATGACCATAATGACTACTTATAGTAAAGTGACAAATGGCCTCCCACTTAGCTGCCTGGCAACTGTCTTCATTATGCCTGAAATCACTGTGATCACATTCAGGAGCAGACAACATGGACAAAGACTAAGCTGACTGTGCTGCCTATAAAGTACGGACTCCACGTTTGATTATTATACCTTTTATTGTTTATGTGTTCAACTTTGTTCCCTCTCTTCCACTTATTGTATTTTAAGCCATGTTTGCACGCAAAGCCCGGAGGCTCTGTTTGCTCCGTTTCAGAGGAATTTGGGGCTTTCCGTGCTTTTAATGCTGAAAAGGGTGACATAAGCCCCACCACGAATTATGAAAAGTCTCTCATGTTTTCACCCATAATCTAAAGCATCCACTGGGGGCAGGATGATGAGAGATTACAGAGGCAAACGCACGTCTTCAGGGTGAATGTCCTCTTATCCAGTTCCACATCCACCAACGCCACCACAAATTTGAAAACACAGATGGTTAAAGTTTCTAAACCTTCTGTTTGGGCAGATTAAAGACATTTTTCAGCGTGGGCAAAGTGTCATTTGGAGAATTGTGGATTAATCCTTTTGAGAATTAAGTTTACGTTTGTTTTTTGGCTGATCCAACTTGGATTATCTTAAGAAAACGGAGCTCTGAATAAAGAAGGAAACTCTGTGTCGCTGCGTCACTCTGCTGTATATCTGCCAACCACGCACCCTGGGGACACGAGATAAGACAATGCTCTGTGTGTCAGAGTGTGCGTGCTAACGGCTGACCTCGAATAAGGCTTACAGATGTGGAAGGGCACGGCCGCTACAAACTGTCCATGGTGCACATCTGTCAGGCTGAGCTCAGTGACGCTTGACTCAATGTGCAGACAAAACACTCTCCCTCAGTGAATGAGTGACAAGACAAAAGAGAAAGCTGGTTTTTGGTTTGGTTGATCTTTAATCCTCAGAGTTTGTACTGATCACACTTTGTACTTTCAGTAAAATGAGTTTTGAGGGGTTTTTTTTGTGAGAATACAAGTTTACATTCACTGATATTGTGTAAAGTATAAAAACATGTGGTAGGCCCTTTGTTTCCTTGGCTGTTAGTTACACATCTGAGACCTCTGTGAAAAACTTGGAGTTTCATGAATAACCTTAACTTCCTCCTCAGAGTACAACATAAACATGTCGCACCTGCAGCTTCTAAAGTCAAATGAGCATCAGCCAGTGAGCATCGTAAACAGGAAGCAGCAGGAAATGAACAGATGTGCCATTGCAGCACGTCTGCCCAAAGTAAATAACAGGTATTTCTCCACGTGAACACCTGAGACCACAAGACGTGCAGCAGGAACCTGTATTTCTTGTATCAGCAGATTTCCAGTGTAACAGCCTGAAGTTACAGCAGCATCTTTTTAATCATCTCTTTCCTGTTACAGATGCCAAACAACTTTTCAGTGCTGTGCGCTGGACTGTTCGAACACAGCGCTGTTATAGCTTCTGCCTTTAATTAATCATAAATCTTTCCTTCCTCTTGTTACCCACTCTTTCCAGCCCTCCTACCCACATTCAGAACATCCCACTTACTTCAACTCCATGGCTGCTCTCCTCTTCTGTTCTCTCTCTTCACTGAAAACAAACGCTGCTCTTCGTCACCTAATTCTCCACATGTATGATATGCTGTATTATGTCCAGGAGGCAGTGACAAGAAGGCATGTGAGAGGCCTGAGCTGCTACAATAATCCAAACAGACTGACAGGAGGCCAACGGGTGAGCGGAGACGGAGGGGGAGGACGGTACAGTGGTGTAGAGGAAGACAACAGACCAATCACAGGAGCTAGGGAGGCTGAAGAAGGCTGGGCTTAAAGCCTGTGCTGCTCTTTAACCCCTGGTGAGGGCAGAAGCTCAACTAGCACGGAGCAGAGACAGATAAGGAGTGACAGAGGACGGGGCGGCTGACAGAAACAGACACAATCAAATGTGCCAGCAGTGACCAAAGGATTTCATTATTTTCAGAGTCCAAATGCTGTCCCAGGTGCAAAAGATTATAAGAAAACTCCCTAAATGACACAAAAGTAATTAAAGCTAGTAATTTTTACATTAAGATGTTAGTGCGAAGGCACAGGACACCACTCCCACCTTTTTTATGATGAGTTTTATCCTGATTTGAGGTAAAGGTGCTACAAGTTGCACTAGCAAAAACTATCAAAGCAAAAATGTCTGCACAGAGTAGTTGAACTAGATAAACTCAGAGTTAAAACATACTGCAGGCAGATCCAAAACTCCAAACGTTAAAGAGCAACAGCCAACCAGAGTCATAGTAATTGAAACAAGATGGTCCCAGAAAGCCATAATAACTGTAACAGTCCTCTAAGTGATGACCACAGTGCAATCATATGCTGAACACTACGGTTCAAAGAGCAGAAATGCAGTTATTAATCAGCGGTGCGTTGGTATCTGTTTGCCTCCAGATGAGGCAAAGTTGGAAGATAAGTTCAACATGAAGCAGACGTTATGTGTGCGGTCATTCCTCCAGGGAAAAAGAACCTAAAACCTCCAAAATGACCATGAAATTCATGCTCACGGATGTAAACGTCCGACCACAGCTGTACATATGAGGCTCTAAAATTCCTTTTCAGCTTTCCATTCAGCACCATGAATCTTAATATGCAGGCTTTTTTTTTTTTAGTATAAACGGCTCAACTGTGTTTTAGTGTGATCTTACTGATTGTTTTTGTTTCACGTTTCAGAAAAACACGAAAATAAAATGAGCATCCTGTTCTGACGCTTGCAGCCAAGAGGGCAGCCTTCCTCTTATTGTTTGCACATCTTTCACGTTTATACCTTGGCAGAGAAACATTAGCTGTTCCACCATAACAAAAAAAGTCACTCATGATGCGTTATCGGGCTGTATGCACCCACACCCACACTTTCCTACAGACAGGAAGACACTCTCACATAACACAGACATGTAGCTCCCCCCAGAGTGGTTCCTATTTCTTGAAAGCTTTAATGTTATTGGCAAGCAAAAACAAATGTTTGTGGTAATTATCCAAATGCATCTGCGCCCCCCCCCCCCCAACTTCCACTTAAATGGATTACTTAAGCATAGAAAATGACGTTATACAGTAACAGGAGCACTGTGATTCAATCCTCTTTCAGATTTATATCACTGTGTCACACAGAGTAACAGGAAACCGCCGGCTGAATATGTGAAAGAAGAAGAAGAAATGTGATGTAGCTACTGTTCTTTTAATCTGTAATGGCTCGTTGCATTGCATGCTAAATCTAACAAACGAGTTCATTGAGACATGCTTCAGTATTTTCTCCTAAATACTGACTAAATACTGTTTACTCAACCTGAACAATAAAGAAAAGAAAAGTGAAAGAACAATTTAAGATGATTATTGCTTGCTATGAATAACCCATTTTGATTGATTAATGTTTTGTCTTCATTGCTCTCCAGAAAGGTAAATAAACGTAAAACTGCTCATTAGTTTAAGCAGACCATCTCTAAGCTCACGTGTTTATTTTGGTTATTAGGCTGGTTCAGGTTCCTCTTACATTGCAGTCTCCTCCCTTCCTTTCAACCTCCACTCACATCTTGCATCAGGTGACCTCCATAGGTCACATGACAGGGTGGGGGACTGTGCATTACTTGATAAGAAAGACGTATGATGTCATCACTATTGTACTGTATCCTGTATTGTGACTGACAATACCCTTGACACAAAAAATATATATGGTTGCAGCCTTAATGCTCATAATGGTACTAATGGCTCTCTGTGCAAATATGTTCAAAGATAGTAAGTGAAAGGTTTTCACATGCACATATAACTACAATGTGTGTTGCCTTTAACTTGTAGCATTACATCAGAGCTCCTCATTATTTGGAGATGACCAAAAGATAAAAGTTACAGTATCAGTCAGCAGTCTATGTCACCTCTTGCATGCTGGATCAGAAATAGATCAGAAGGATTTTTATGACCGATACAGACACCGATATTTGGTGATTTAAAACTTCCGTATGCATGGAATCTGGAGAACCTGTTTATAACACATAAACTCCAATCATACGGTACGTGTAATTATTTATTTACTCATTCCCACTCCGCTTGAATCTGCTCAGATTAGCTGTTAGTTATTGTGTGCGGAAAATTGCAGAGTGCCCCCTGGTGGACACACCATGCAACATCAGCACTAATAGTAGGCTCACCAACACACTTCATGCACATAATCTATAATGTGTTTGTTTGCTCTTTCAAAAACGATGTCACTCACAAGTCCTTCGTTCTCCTGTTGATTTGCAGTCACAGAAATGATTCAGATACACTCAGAGCTACTACAGAGTAAAGAGTGACTAAGCTGGTTGTTGTTCTAGCTTAATCGCTTAGCTTTAACCACACAGACTTTAAGATCTGGCAGAGCTCAGAGCGCTGGGTCCATTGATCCTGAGGGGTGACAATCACAATCACAGTGCAACAGTGCAGAACAGCAAGCCTTCGGGGTTTTAGTCACTGTACGAGAAAAACATCAATACTAACACCACCAGCCGACATGTAATGGAAAAATATGTCAGTCGATATCGGGGTTATCTGCTGATTGATACTGTAACAAAGCTACATTTGCCTTAATGAGCGTCTATGTTGCAAATGATCTTAAAATTCTCGATATATTTATGGCTAAACAGATGTTTTGTCATGTAACTTGCTATTAGGTTTGTGCTACTTTATTGCTTATTCATAGTTTTTCTCTCTCGCATGTATTCTCATATTCAAACTTTGTATATTTAAAAAAAATAAGTAATTTCTTTGACGTGGATGAGAATGAGGGATGGATTTGAGGGAAAATAAGTGTTTTGCAACTGCTGACACTACACACTGCGTATCAAGACAACGTACCTCAACTATTCTTTAAGTATCACGAGTGATTAAACACATTTATTGACAAAATGCATTCTACATTTCACTAAAGACTGTTCACTGTGTAGACAAACTGTTCAATGTAAATGTAATCTGAAGGACTTTCTTTTAAGGACTCCAGTTTAGCTCCCAGGGTGAGCAGGGAGCGATACGTTGGCCAGGGTTTGACTCTGACCTGCGGCCCTTTGCTGCACTCTCTGCTTTCCTGTCCACTCTTTACTTCACTATCCAATAAAAGCAAAAACAACATTTTAAACTGTCGTTTCATACAGAAACAGTAAGTGTTGCACTGATCGGAGTCAGCATTCTGTGCACAGAGTGGGGATTTTTTGAGGATTACAGTAACTCGATGCAGAGTTAGAGGTGTTTCGGATTTGTGTTATTTCCTGTTTTATCTTTTTAAGATTGTTGCTTGGACGTGCTGCCTTTACCCCCAAAAGTTATTTCATGGACATATGTGGGTTCCTTCATCACTACTTCGTCATTAAGAGGAATTGAGAAGTAGTGATGTGTAGAGACTCCTAGGGTGGCTTTTGCATTTTGAAGGTGCAAAACAGAAACATGTAGTCAGAAGGTCTAGGCCAGGGGTGGAGAACTCCAGGCCTCAAGGACCAGTGTCCTGCAGGTTTTAGATATCACCATGGGTCAACACACCTGAATCAAACAATTAGTTCATTAGCAGGTCTCTGGAGAACATCGAGACATGTTGAGGATGTAATTGCCCATATAAATCAACTGTGTTGGATCAAGTACACATCTAAAACCTGCAGGACACTGGTCCTTGAGGCCTGGAGTTCCTCCACACCTGGTCTAGGCTGTAAAAAATAAAAATAAAATAAACAAACCAATCAGGCTAAGAGCAGAAACACTAGCAGTGAAAACATTTAAATCAAATCTCAGGGGGAAAAACAACAAAAGAAAAAATAGACAGAGATGAGCTTGGAAACAAAGACTCTTGGACATCTATGGAAGACAAGAATGGTGGATGACCACACATCCATCAAAGTGAAGAAACCTCTATATGATTAGACACATAATAATCCCATAAAGAGGTTTCAACAAACAATTCATCAGACTTAAGAACACAAAGCCCAGATGACATGATTCATTTCCCAGTTTACCTTTTCTGGACAGATGAGACTAATGTCAGCTTCAATCAAAACGATGAGGTAGGCTCGGAACAGCTCACGATCAGGTGGGATGTGATGGATGGGCACGTGTGGCGTCCGGTGCCACTTAGTCACATGATGGGAAAAAGAAGCTTGAAGATGAATTCCTTCTTTCCAAAACACTCACGTTTCCCGATTAGCACGAGGATGGTGCTCCACTGCAGCGGTGGCAGAACTGTGCAGCCCTTACCACACCACTTTCTACTTTTTGTTCCCACAACCATTTACTGCATTGAAGCATCTCTGATGTCACAACAGAAAGAACAGCCCGCCATAGGAAAACTACTGCTCGGACATCAAAGACTCTCTCGCACAGAGCCAGGATAAGAGAGAGGAGTGGACAGAGAGGGCAGGCTTATGTAATCACACTTTAATCCACTTAGTTTATCTATGAAGAACGGAGCCATGACAATGACATGAATGTGGCTTGCTGATGAGCCATTGAGACAATCCACTGTGAATAATGATGGCAATGTCGTAGAAACTCCCAAAATGAATGTAAAACCCCAGCAGTGTAACAGAGTCAAAGACTTCTCTGGTCACATTTGATTAAAGGATTCATTTGGTATTCAATTCAAGTTTCTTATATAAGGTAAACTGACTGCAGAGGGAGAGCACAAGTCCAAGGGTCACTTATTAGCATGTTTAATTTCTAAAATCAACAC